TTTTTAACGGGACTTTTTTTGAAAGGTAACTGATGTAATATGTAGTAACTTAGGCTACTTTTATTTTAGAAAAATAAAGTTAAATTCCACGCGGTCGAAGTCACGGGCACAGCTAGCATTATTATAAATAAACGATCTATATAACGTCAGCTATTATTGTATTAATCAATTAATTAATTAAATTGTAGTTAATATTGAAAATAATAACAAAATTAATTATTGTCCAATTGGTGCATATATTGTAATTACTCCAGTCATTTTTATTTGAAACAACCAGATGAACCTCTTTAGCTTATATATTGACCCACGTTTCTACATATTCTTTGAAATTTTTAAATAGACGGCTTCAGTGGTCTTGCGGTTTAGCACACCGCTTTACTTCCCATGGTCGCGGGTTCGATTCTTCGCACGGCACAAACATTTGTATTCATGAGTATGATTGTTTTTATCGGTCTGGGTGTTTTCTATGTATAATGTGTATGTATTTACGAAAAAAATATATCTATCTATTTGTATTAGTTATCTAGTACCCATAACACAAGCTCTGCTTACCGTGGGACTAGATGGCGCTGTGTGAATTATCCTGAGATTATTATTATTATTTTCATCGTAATTACTCTAGTCATTTTCACTTGAAACATAAACAGAAGAATAGACAAATTGACGGTTTACGCGTCGTCACAATTTTATTATAACATATATAATATTTTTAATATTTCTTTTTTTTTATATTTCAGGACAATTTACACAGCCTCATCTGGTCCCAAGCTAAGCAGAGCTTGTGTTATGGGTACTAGACAACTGATATAAATACATGGATACATTTTTTTTGTAAATAAATACATTATATACATAGAAAACACCCAGACCGATACAAACAATCATACTCATGAATACAAATGTTTGTACCGTGCGAGGAATCGAACCCACGACCATCGGATAGTAAAGCGGTGTGCTAAACCACTAGACCACCGAGGCTGTCATGTCATAATGTATGTAAATACAAATCAATAATGATAAAGGTAACAAAACATTCTCAGTTTCCATGTGTGAGGTGACACACGTGTTTATGTTCTCACATTATGCTTATCATTCCGTTTTATCTACATTTGTATAATACTGAACTGATTCACACAACTGGGGACTAACTGGGAAACCGTCACGGTGACGTGAAAGTTCAGTCTCTAATGCTTGATGGTTCAGTTCAATCCTATGGGATTGTTCATTAATCATGTGACTTCACGTGAGGCATGAAGGGAGGGGGGCATTTATTTTTATATTTTTACGGCAATCAAAAGAACCTGCAACCTAGTCTAGGCATTTTTATCATGGATAATATTCTAAAAATTTTAAGTTTGGGGGGGGGGGGGGTTGTTAAGATTATAGTTTATACCTGCAATTTAAAGATAATATTCTAAAAATTTTAAGTTTGGGGGGGGGGTTGTTAAGATTATAGTTTATACCTGCAATTTAACGATAATATTCTAAAAATTTTAAGTTTGGGGGGGGGGGGTTGTCCTAAACCTCACTACGTCTTATCAAGGGGGTGGGGGGCGGTTGTTTACTCAGTAGAGTGCCAATCTTTTTAAAGCCGGTTTATTTACGAGTACATAGTGTTCTTATGTAGGTATCTATGTCTAATATTAAATGAAAAATTTTGACTTTAATGTAGTAATTAAAGTCGATTCCCTATTTTTTTTAGTTAGCACTCACATAGTCGTTGCTTGGTTCGTGACTACAAATCGTGATAAGGTAATAAAATCAAAAATATTTTTCATTCTTTTTCTCTTTTTCTAAATGGCTTCTACAATATCTTATGTCAACGTACTATGCTTACCTACCTATCATAACGTATTACTATATTATTACAAGCTGACTCTTCTAGCGTTGTTTTGTCATATAAATTATTTCTGAATATAACCACCCCTATCACCTAGGAGCATAAAAAATTGCCTAGGACGTATTCGTACATTGCTAACATTGGGATAGTCTAGTCCAAATTCAAATTCAAAAATCATTTATTCATGTAGGACATTTTAGCTGCTTATGAAAGTTTTTTGTTTATATTAAATTTTTGTTCGCTACCGTCCAGTATATAGATCCAATTGAGAAGAACTGGCAAGAAACTCATTTGAATTGCTTATTTTTTCTTTTTAAATGCCAGTTTATTTACACTGTATATTTATATAGGTGTCTATATTTAAAATTAAATGTAAATCCACTTTACTAATAATCCCATTTCTCCTCTAAATCATGGTATTGTATTGTTATATTTCTTGTTTTGAATGTCATACTACATACGTGACTTCTAGCCTTACTAATCAACAAAATGAATGGATTAATACAATGAAACAGCAATATAAGTAGGTCAAAATATCAACTATGATGTATCGAATTAACGAACGACTCATCGAATCGGTAAACATGTATATAACATTAAAAAGTTTTCGCTAATGAATATTTATTTATTCGAATATTACTAGAACAACCTATTTGAAATAATTTTTAGCGACTTTTAAATGTAGATATATTCATTTGGAGTGATTCATGACATAGTTTACTAACAGATTAACACCATGAAGATCGTGGGTTCGAATTAGAGGACACACAAAAAGCTATGTGGAAGTTTATATTTCCAATCAACCGCGATGGAAACACCGGTAACATTATAGAATTAATCGGAGAGTCGAGAAATGTGGGCATGTTGAGCACATTTGCAGTTATCAATAATAAAATCCCTTAATTATTCACACAACGCCATCTGATTCCAATTCAAGCAGAGCTTGTATTATGGGTACTAGATAACTGATATAAATATTTAGATAGATTCGTCATACTCGTGAACAGTGCTGCTTGTGGGGACGGGTCTGTTCAGGTTACGAACACTGATTAGACTTTTTGCTTTTGCAATATCATATGCTGGTGGTAACTCTATTCTCCCAAATTTTAATTTATAATTAATCTATATTATTGTAAACATGTACAACATTTATTTGAAAAGAATAGGGGCTGAGTTTCTTGTCAGTTCTTCTCATCACGAAATCTTTCCAAACTGACGGTAGAATTGACATATCATAAGAGTCTGTAATAGACCTACATGAACAAAGATATTTTGAATTTGAATACATTTTTTTTTGTAAATACATATTATATATTAGGTATGCATTGTTATACGAAAAAAATAGTACTAAACAATTATACTCACGAATACGAAATATTTGTGTTGTGCGAGGAATCGAACTCACGCCCATCGCAAATAGGGCGGTCTGCTAAACCGCTAGACCACCGAAGCCGTCAATTTTTTGTTCGTTCGTTTACATGTTTGTAAGTTACTCTTTTTATATAATTTATTAATTAATTTGATATGATGATACCCGACATAATGTCATGGTCACGATCATATGTTCGTAAAACACAATGTTTATACATTAGTCAATAGTTATGACATCATTTATATATAAAAAATCTACATTACAATTTCTGTCTTATATTTATATAAATAAAAATCAATTCCGGAATATATTTATTTAAACTTTATTGAAATTTTTGTACATTACTTTGACTTAGACGAAATAATCCACACAGCGCCACCTAGTACCAAACTAAGCTTAAGCTTGTGTTATCTGTAATAAAGAACTATAAAAATATGTAAAAAAAAAATATTTTCTAAATATATTCATACAAACTATACACAGAATACAAATAGTCATATTCATGAATACATATGTTTGCACCGAGCGAGGGTTCTAACCCGCGACCATCGAAAGTAAGGCTATATGTTAAACTGCTAAACCACCGAGGTCGTCAAAATATATTAATGCTATTATTATTGTTTATCAGCCAATTGCAGACATGGTAAGCACACGACTTTATAATGATGGCGCCTAATTGTTTCTTTTAAAATAAAAATGTAATCCAGAACAAATCATATAGAGCGATCTAGTCAGAAGATACAAATCATTACATATTATAAAACAAAGTTGCTGTCGCTGTCTGTCCCAATGTATGCTTAAATCTTTAAAACTACGCAACGGATTTTGAAGCGATTTTTTTTAATAGATAGAGTGAATCTAGAGAAAGGTTTATATATATAATACATGTACACCTGTGCGAAGCCGGGGCGAGTAGCTAGTATTTCAAATATTACACTGCTGTTTTATACAAAGTATGATGTTTTGATGTTTTAATATTCTGTCCAGATGCCGTAAACACGATACAGTTACGCATCTGTGGCGGAACATTGACCTTACGACGCGCAATCGGATATCAAAGTAGTATTAATAAACATTTTTGCTATACACTCCTATTGACATATGCGCAGGAGATGCAATGTAATAAAGCCTTTATGATGTAAGCAGTTGGATCACAATTTAAACAATGTCATAACATAAAAAATATTTTTATATTTACATATGTAAATATAAACAAAAAGCTATTTTTGTTTAATTGAACAGAATTACTTCAGTCACAATATTCTTGAATTACTACTTCTTTCGATTCTAAAGTTGGAGTTAAAAAGAAGAATAGTGAGAATATTTGCTAATTCTCTGAAATTGCTGGATGAACTTGCCATTCAATTTCTTCCAACTTCATTAGAAAATATTTTTTTTTTTAATCCGAACTTTAAAACGTATTCAGAGCTATTAAATTTTGCAAATATTTAAATAGAAAGCTCATACTGCAATAAATAATGCAACATGAGAAAAAAAGGCAATTTTTACTCTAAATATTATTAAGAATTATTTTATTTATAATTTTTTATTATTATTAAATAACTAACAATTAGAATTATCTCTACATTTTCTTACTAAAGTACTACTGGTTATAAATGTATTTCGTCTATATACTACTCGTAAAGCTGCAATAGAATATTAGGTACCGTTGTTAATTAAAAACCAATGTGTTCTACCAATTCTTGATGGTACTACGTGCTATTACGCAAAGCGTCTCGTCGCCGTCATCTGGCCGGATAGCCTTCAAGTCAGTTCCCCGCAGTCGGTGCGCCGGCGCACCTGCGCGCTTCCAACTCTCCACTCCGTACTCGAGTACTTTTGAAAGCGAGGTGTTGTGTTTTGTGATTGCTCTCTTGTGTTCTGGAACTATCTCTCTTTATTCTCTTAAAGGGATTCTTTTTGGATTAGTTCCCTACTTTGTGACGGATTTTCTGAACGCTTCCCGCGGTGAGTTCTGTTTAACTGACGGTTATGGCCGTTATTAACTCGTCAATAATATAGCAATATGTTTTAACGTTAGTCTGTATGCATGTTGTCATGTTGTTAGTTTTAATAATATCGACTATTGTTCATCAAAAGCAAGACTGAGGAACCTATTAATTTTAATTAATATTTTGCCACAATCTTTCAATAATAAATAACAAAAACAGATAAATAGATTTATTAAACGATTGTCTGTTATTTATATAGTTGTTAATTTTAGGTTAAATTTTTGAACCTTTTTCGACCGCGAAATTATCACGGACGGAGGTGTATGGAATTTCGCACACTTATAGTTCATATTTAAAATACTTTAAATCTATAAAGAACCTTACACACACTACCACGTGTTTGACACATACGCACAGATGTATAGTCTTTGGCAATATAACCTTAATATGTTCAACTTATAATTTAAATTAATTATGGTCCATTGAGCGATCACTAGTTTTAAATTCACCAATTAATTTACAACAATAAGACAAAAATGATAATATTTATCTGCCCTAATATGATTCTGTATATTAGATACTTAAATACAATATCTATTGTCTACCTGTATCTGTAGATTTTGAGATTTTATTGTTTTAAATCGTGATACTTACTGTATTTAATTCATTTTCAATTTTCATAATTTTTCTATGCAGCAACATCGTACTTGTAATATTGTAATACATATAATGAACTTATTACTTATTTACACAAGTGTTTCTTTACAGGTCTGAAGTGAGGTTACTTGACGAATTATGAACGTGGTGAGTATTGGAATATATTTATGAATTTATAAATATTCTCCCCCAAAATGAATATTTAATTCTTACAGTGTAAAAAATATTTGTTTTTTTAATATATCTGTACATACAAATAAAATTGGAATGTCTGTTTGTAATATTTAAATAACCGTTTTTTACTACAGGCATATGAATATACAAACACCAAAATAACATTTTTTACCATTTTTGTCTGTCTGTTTGTTTGTTCCTGCTAATCTCTGAAATGGCTGGACCGATTTTGACGAGACTTTAATAGGCAGGTAGCTGATGTAATAAAGAGTAACTTAGGCTAGTTTTATTTTAGAAAAATAAAGTTAAATTCCACGCGGACGAAGTCGCGGGAACAGCTACTAACTAAAAAAACATTAACGAGCAAGGACCCACCTGATTGAATGCGATGATGGTCGCCTATCACTATATCGTATAATTTCGCTGCCACATAATAATTATAATCTCTCAGGATAATCTACACAGCACCATCTAGTCCTAAGCTAAGTAGAGCTCGTGTTAAGGTTACTAAGAATAACTACTATTATAAATAGAGTAGAGAAATACTACTATAAATACTAACTAATATACGAAATAATATAAATACTTAATTTATTTGGTTTTAGATACATAACATACATAAAAACACGCAGACTGATACGAACAGTCATAGTCATGTCATATCAATGTTTATACCATGAACATCGGAAGTAAGCACGAGTTATAAACCGCTAGGTTACCAAGATTGTCAATCTCACCTCATCACCAACATATACCTTTTATTAAAGGATAACAGTGAAAACAGATAAAAAATACCTTGGCAATAGAAATAGGCGGGAGGGGAAGTGACACGTGGATGTCTTTGTGCAAAGTCTTGCTCAGTTAAATGATGGCAACATTCAATTCAGTTCTATAGTTTAGCAGATAATGTATACAAAAACGGATGAATAAAAAAACTTATTATTACTGTTCATCGTTATATTAAGAGAATTATAATTCGTGGTTTTTTTGTACACAAACATAATCCTTTAGTAACCTGTTTATTAAACACGTTTAATTTTATACTAGTTTCGATTAAGAATTTATTTATACTGTAATTTTGTTAAAATGTTCTTCTTAGCCGATTCCTCAAGGCTATGGTCGTCACTCGGAATGCACCTCCAAATCTCCAGGTATGTCTATTTTATGATAGGTGAATACCTGAATGTACATTTAATAGACAGCTATTTAATATTAACAAATAAATTAAGTATTTATATTATTTCGTATATTAGTTAGTATTTTTCTACTCTATTTATAATAGTAGTTATTCTTAGTAACCTTAACACGAGCTCTACTTAGCTTAGGACTAGACTAGACTACATTTAATAGACAGCTACTAAATGTACATTCAGAAATGCCTTGATGAATTTCACCCACATGAAATTTGTACCCTATGTGTTATACTCATGTATAAGCTCTATTACTCTAAAGTTTCCTCAAATTCCGTTCAGTAGTTTTTGCGTGAAAGATCCATCCATCCATCTATACAACCGTACTCCCAAACATTCGCGTTTATAAAGTTTAATTAAATCCTTAAAGAGCCGTTTCGCGACACATCTTATACTAGAATAGAATAGAAAATCATTTATTCAAATAAACTTAATTTAAGCACTTTTGAATAGTAATAAAATTTTTTTTTTATCTACGGCTCGTTCGGAAAGCTGTCTCATCACAAGAAGAACGAGCAACACTCTTGTGTGTTGCTCTTTTAAATAATCCTTATAAGTTTACATTTACAAGTCGAAACGTGTGAATACAAACTACCAACCAACACTAATTTATTTGTTTAAATATAAATATACTGATGTACTAATGTTAGAAATGTAGATCGAAATATTACACAATAAATTATTTATACGTGACAAATAAATATACGACCAGAGTGAAGGCTTAACAGGTATAATTCACGAGGTGCCCTAAATATTCAAGGATTACATGTACATTATATATGATGTATTGAAGTATATTGTGACAAGCCAACAACCAAAGTTTGTTTATAATATTATTAAAGAATATCTTATCAATGTTCCTTTTCAATTTCATTTTATAATACAAGTAATTCGTGACATACAATATCGTTACGGACATATTAACGATTTCCATCTAGGTGGTTGCATCATTATATATGCACTATCGTTAGCTGATAACATGATCACGATAGCACAACATTATTTTAACACGTCCTGTACACATAACTGATAACGAAACACGCTTTAATATTTATAGCACTAAAATTACTGGCAACATATCAAAATAAAAATATTTATTGATGTTGCCCTTATCAATAAATTATTGCTCTACCATATATCATATTAATATAAAAAAATAATTTAAAATCATAGATAACGCATATTTTATTTGTTATAAAATATTTTTAAAATCGATCTATTAACTTATTAAGATTATATGACAAAACTACCTGTACCCGCCAAAAATCCATTAAGTAGTTTTTGGGTGAAAGAGTAACAAACATTCTTCCATCCATACACGAACACTCAAAAACTTCATTTATAATATTAGAAAGATAGAAATGATTTTGTTAGTATTATTAATAATTCTGCTAAAAAAAAATAAAGTTATTTACCACTTATATTATTAGGCAAGTCCCTACAATGTCAGTTCGGCTACGGTTCCTTTTGACAAAAATGCATTGACATACGCTTGTGGTCACTCTGTTCTCCCTATTTGACGTAGAAAAAGAATCTTTATTTTAAGAATCATACGTACAAGCTCTTTTGAAAAGAATAAGAGCTGAGTTTCTATAGTCAGTTCCTCTTAGCTCGAAATCACTCTGAACTGACGGTAAATATGACAAATCATAAGAATCTGTAATGTGATAAATATGATACATGAATAAAGAGATTTTGATTTGATTTGATTTGGATTTCTACTAATTCTGGCACGTGGATATATTAACAACATATAAGAAAACAGAAAAAGCTCTCTAAGTGTTTCGGAGTTAGGTCAGAATATATATTGCCATTTTTTCAGCTTATCTCAAAGAAAAAAACAATTAAATTCCATTGACACGAAAATGCTGACCACACCGAAGGTCACCATCCATTCCTTTGTACAAAGACCCTTACGCCACGACCATACACTCTGAACAGCGTGTCTAATTTTGGCGTTTCTAATCTATATTTAATTGACAATACAATTTCAATACTAATATTACATTAAAATAATTTTGTTGAAAACTGAATACAAATCGAATTAATTTTAAACAACAACTATTCGTAAAATACCATATTCATCATCATGAAGAATGGCGGTCCTCCACCGTGCATTTTTTCCAAAATCTTTTACTTTAATTGCGTCTAGGCCGGTTTTACATGAATTTCATGTATTTCTCGTTTTACCTAAATTTAATCAGAAATTCATATAATATCATTAGAGTAAATTTATAATTGGGAAAGCGATCTTGCACGTTAAATAATAAATGTCATAAAAATTTACCACAATAAACGATCTTGCTTATTGTGGTAAATTTTGATGGCTATGACAAATTCACCACAAAGAATGATAGCTCTACGTAATGCGTTGATAAGTGACAAAAAATAATTATGGCAACCATTAGTACTGTACCTAGTTGTCTTTAGACAACTAGGTATTTCACTGAAGGTACAATGAAACATTTTAATGTTTCATTGTACCTTCAGTGAAATAATTAATGCAGAAATGTATCCGGATGAACTACACGCAGCCTCCCTAGTGGGTTCACCAATGTGGATTAACTGATCTGATATCTTATCATCCTCTACTGATCCATCCATCCAGCGTACACCATTAGCACGGCCAAGTGCACTATACCATGTGTTATACATACAAATAAAACCTAAAATTATAGCGATTACTTGCTCATAAAGTCAGCAATGATTGAGTTGCCTAGCAACGTTATCAACCACATTAAAACAGTATATATATACATTTCCGTCATTAGGTATACGAAACAATGCAATCGGGTCATGAATATACAATTGTACGAGCAGCCGATATAAATGTTGCATAAAATAATGGGTTATTATTTATGAAACAAGTATAATATTATCAGCAAACAAATTTCTGTGAATTGTTTCCAAAAAGGTTTTATATACTTGAATATTTGCACATCGATGAGACTTTTAAAATGTCCGCGTACATTTTTTTTATAATTTGGTTTCCTCATAATCGTAAGATAATCGTGCATGACTACAATCTATACTAATGAGTAAAGGTAAAGAGTTTGTTTATTTCAACGCACTAAACTCTGAATTTACTTTGGATTAGAAGAGTTTTACAAGGCTACTAAAAGACGAGGGAACTCCTAAGATCAGAGTCAGAAAGAAAAGTAGTAAGAATGAACGCTAAAGAAGCGGAGGACGGGTGATACGATATCATGTGGTCAGTGATGAAAGACCGCCATTTCTTTTAAATAAATAGCAGGTGAAACCACGGGGTGCTGTTCGTTAATAACATAAGCATAAAACTAATGCTTATGTATTTACAAGGGCTAATTAATTTATAAATAACATACAATGAATATCCTGCATTTAAAAATCTTCAACTCTCTATCTGGGTTTCTATAAATTTTCTAATATTAAATCATTTGATTCCTATCTATATTATGACTCTGAAGGGTTTGTTTTTTTTAGTAGAATGCCCTAATCTAAGACACTATTAGTTTAAATTGACGTATACTCTCAGTGTTAGCTAGCCCATTTATTGAAGGCTATAGGCTATCTAACATTACGCCATGACCAATAGGAGCGGAGCAGCAATATTAGTAAAACGAAGAATATTAGACGCAGACGAAGATGCACGGATGAGCTAGTCAATGAAACAGATATCTGACTCAATTTAGTTTATACTTCGATGATGTGAGCGTAGGTACCCAAGCGGTTATATCTAAATGAATACCTACATAAAACCCATTTTTCCTCCCATTCGACCGCAAACTCCGGGCCGGAGACATC